CCTCGGATTGCGAGTCGAGCGCCCTAACTACCTGGCCATGCCAGGCTAACGGTTCTTAAGCATAAAAAATTTTAGACAAGTTAAACATATTTATATATTTGTGAACATATATTAAAGGTATCTGAAGCGCAGTGAAATTGTAAAATTTGAAAACTAAAATCCTGAAGTGTTTATTATTCTGATTATATAATGTTACATTACTTTTCTCATTACAAAAATCAGGAACTATAACATTTTTTTTTCATATAGTTAGTCAGTCAGACGTCTAATAGTAACAATAATGGCGCCATTTATTATAGCATTCCAACCAATAATATGAAACTACAAATGCAAAAGAACCAACCAGATACCTCGCCGTTTCGTTTTTTCTCAGCGTCAGTTGACGCAGTTGGGTAGTTTGAAAAGTATTATCACGAGTTTAGTGGATTTGTAAGTATTATTATTGTAGGGGGGAAAGGTAGGTTTATCTGTATCAGCTCTATTAGTAGTAAAGCTAGTTTAACTTTAACACATCTGTATATGATGTTAACGCTGCAATGTTTTTACATAGATTTAATTAAGATCCAGTCGAGTAATTTTATAAATTGTTTCTGAAAATAATTCAGTGTATGATTATGTGTCACTAACTGGAGATTTGTAAAATTGTAATGTAACATTACTAACAATAACATAGATACGATAAAGTAACTCGCTGATCCCGCAGTGACTAACTCATAACGAAGTAACATTAGCGGCGTTAGTGCGATATTCGTACTTACTCGACTAAGTTAATTACATGACAGTATTACTGTTAACACTGGGTTAGTCATTGTCATTCACTGTTGACTGTAGTGTAGCACTAACATTACTACTGATTACGGATATAACTGGACATAAACTTTAAAGAGATAAACTTGATAAATCATAAGTACTGTCAGTATCATTATTACAAATTTACATAGCACTGTTTAAATAGTATTACTTTTAGGCAGGTTGGGAAATAGTGTTTGAGGAAGCACGAAATAACTTATAACTAATTATATTTATAGACAGTTTTGTTTAGCCTAAAGATGAAATTTAGATGCAGACTTTTTTTGAATTAGAGGTGAAATAAGTTGTTTACTGTGGGAGACAATTTCTTCAATTCTAATCTAAGGCATGAAACTAACAATAGAGAAGTTGATACTAACCAGCATAGTTTCTTTTAAACAATGCTATAGAAGTAAAATACATAATGTATAATGAAAATTTTTTTATATGCGGGTTTTGAAAATTTACTTTTTAAACCTTGAATACAAAGAGAAGTTTTTGTAAAAAAACTATATCTATGTGTGTGTGTGTGTGTGTGTATATATATATATATATATGTTCATAGAAAATCATAAAAGAAATCCAATATATTTACATATCATAAATCATTATTTTAATTTTTATTTGATTTAAACATAGTTACTTTTAATAGTCATACATTATTTTTTAATTACAAAATACCAAACCTAAAGAATATTTTTATCATTGTTCCATGTAATTAGTTATATTCAATATATTTTACAAATATATAAGAACAAAAAAATATTGTATTCATTATGGAGGCATTTATCTATAAAACTGATTTCCATTCAAACACAAATGGTTTAAACCAATACAAATATGCACTATAAGCCATGGCATATTGACTTATTAGGTAGGTGACTTAGTTACAGATTAACATAATCTGTAACATTGTCTTATAATGATTCAATTGTTTTCTTTTTTGCTAAAAAACTGAACCAAATATTCAATATTACCCAAAGCTTACCTTGTTTTACCTGGATGACTTTAAAGGTTAAATGCCAGGGTGGCATCCACTCTTGCTCTAATCCCATCCTATTTAAAGTATCTGTGATAGATGTCTGCTTTTAACAAAAAAAATGTCATCATGGGTTGTCTTTTTCAGCTCTTTGGTAGTTCATCTAATGTCAATACCCATCACCCATCAAAAAAGCAAAAAATAAATAAGTACAAGCATGGCCCTTTATACCCATATATCTATTTGAGAAATTTAAAAAATAAACTAATAATGCGTAACAAATCACTGACATTAGCATGCTATTCCAGATGTTTATAACTTCAGCCAAAATGAAGTTAATGAACAAGTTTGCATCTAAGCTTCTATAGTGTACCTATTACTATCAGTAGTATTCAGTTATGTATTTTGTTTTCTCATTCCACAATTCATAAAGATGACGTATACAAAAAGTCTTTTGAATCAAGTCTTAACTTTCTCGTCATAACTTAAGTATATTAAACATTGTATGCAACACCAAATGAAATACATCTACCTCATTAACATAATTTATTCAGCAAAAAAAAGAGTAACTGTAGTTCAAATTCAATTATCAGTGTCAATAAGTATTGATTGAGGAAATTTGTTTCAGCTGTGTTTAGATCTGATAGAAAGATGTCCAAAACTCGATCTAAGCCAGCCACCTTCAATGTGGGTGATGAAGTAGCTGCTAAGTGGTCTGGAAGTAACCAGTTCTATAAAGCTACTATTGTGAGAAAACATGACATAAATTATGATGTTCAATACGAAGATGGGACAGTCGACACAGTTGAACTAGCTGGTATTAAGGTAAAGTATTTACAGAGTCTGAAAAGTATTTCAACTAAAACTTACTTAACACTAGTGTTAATAACAAGTATAACTAATGAATACATGTGAGAGCAGAGAACATTTGTAGTCGTGGACAAAAATACTCATACATTGTGTTTGTAAAGGTCGGCACGGAATAAGCTGCTGTTATTTGTTATAATGTATTTAATACTTGCACGTTGTAAAGAAGTACCTAAGTTATTATGGTAAACCTTTTTATTCAGTTTTAATAAAAGCATAGTTTGCAAATTAACTTATCAAAATGGTATATTATCATTAGGAAATAAAATTATGGCATGACCCTTTGGTATATTATTAAACCCCTTTCAAACTGTTTGTACCCATGAGACTACTTAAAGTTGTTCTTTTAGCTAGGCAATACAACTTCTTCATGTAGTAATAATGAGGATTTTATAAATGAAAATGATAAACTACTTAATGCATCTAATAAAATAATGAACACTATTAATCATTATACAGAGATACGCAATAAACTATCAAGTTGGAAAAGAATAACCTATGTAGTTCTATCAGACTTTTATGCCATTTATCTCATATTATATAATTTACCTAATTGTAAAAAAATTTACATAACCTATAGAAGAAATCATAATTAAACCTTTCTGTAATTATCAAAGCAAACACAAACCTGTAAATGTTCACTAGGTCAGTCATACATTGGTGTTTGTGTGTGACTTTCTTTCTCAATTTCATCCAGGAAAAGTTAAAACGATACAGCCCAGCAAATGCTGAAAATGCCTATCTGTCTTTTTTTTCATTAAAACCGAAAAAGTGGTGCAAGTTAATTTTTTGTTAAGGTTTTTCTGTATAAATATTTGTGCTAACCAACACAGTACACCCCTTAATACAATCTATATATATATATAAAACACTAAAATGTGTATGTTTGTCTGTCCATTATTTAACTACTCCTAGGTCACTGGGCCAATCTCAACCAAACTTTGTGGGATGGCAGTTTGGAATGAGAGTTCACAACCGCGTCCATCCCAATTTATTGCTGTTATTGAGCATGTATTATCTTTGATGTAAGTGAATGTTAGCTACATTCATAGATGGTGCCATGTCCTTGCACACAAAAAACTTACTGAGTTTTCTGTAACACAACATACACACAGTGTGGGGGAAGGACACACAAACATCTTCAAAATCTCTGAGAGTGTGCTAGTACTCTCTATGGATGAGTGCAATGAAAAAAGATGACCATCACTATTGCAATAATACATAAACTCAGATGGAGTTTCTACTCCAACAGCCACCATAAGGCTGATATGAAGAGCTGTTTCTTGAGTTATACCTACCTCCTACTTTGACCCATGACCTTACAGCTTTAACCCATAAGATGTTGCGGCCAAGGACTGTCAATTAATTTATAATGTGAAACAGTGTGGAAGGGCATTCAGATCTGAGTGTTGAAAGTGGGTAACAGAAAGTGCACCTACTGCTATTACTTTGGCTGATACATCTTTCTACAAAGTCACCCTGACCATTGCATAGTGTATACAATGGTGTATATATATATTGTTACGTCTCCGTTCGTTAGTTGATTTTCCGTAACTTTGTTCCCACGAAACTTTAGCGACACAAGTCCTTTCTTAATAAAACTGGTTTATTCTTTCCGAATACAACTTTACGATACACTCATCTTCAACAGTCACGCTATAACAAACTATAATGACGACATTAACTTCAACAATACTTTCTGACTGCAGTTCAATTACTCATTACCTACACACACATTGTCCCGTCATGTTGTGACCATCTTATATATACCAGACTACCCTATATCTATAAATGCTAGGGCATTCACGAAGGAACAAGATATTTCTAGAAATGTGGCGTGACACTAGTCACGTGACCTCGCTGACCCAACACTATGTTGAGTTCTTAAAGCTTATATAAAACTTTTGGTGAGATAATAATGAAAACTGTAATATGTTATATTATAAATAAATAATATGGAAGTTAGGATTTTTGTGTTATTTATCATAGCATCCACCCCCACATTCTTTTAAGTTCATAACCCGGACAAAGGATAGGTACATCAGCTTGTAAATATATCTTTCCTTTTTTAATTTTAATTTTTCCAAATGTAATTAATCATGAACACAATCTCAAATGTATTTCAGCTTACATTACTTTAATAGAAAAATGTAATGAAAAATAATGCATAACTCAGCAATGTTTTTGGAAAAGATGATCCAGTAGAGGTGTGAAATCTAACTTGTATGTCAAACATTATAATAGTACAAACTGATTACAAACATCTGCTCATTAAATAATACCATTACCAGATAATGAAACAAAAAATAACCTTTAATAACTCATTTCGTAAGAATATCACTGATTATATAATTTCATGTTTTATCATCAGGAATTAGAATGAAACTGACAGATATAATAACTGAAAAAAAAAGAACATGAAGCAAAGTTTTGGTTTACATAGTAGTGTGAATGAACATAAGTGTGCTGAAATTGAACAAATTAATATAAGTAAAGGATAATTAATCTTCCCATTCGAAACTAACTGTTCTTCAGGAAAGATTACATGTACTCGTAGGTACTTGTAAATTTATATATAATGATGTATTCAAGTATTTTATAAAAATAATTAAATGTCAGACAGTACCTTGACAGATCTATTAATTCACTTATCCTTTGTATTTTCAAAAATAAATTATTTCTAGTTTAAACTTCCACATGAGACTTGCATTTTATGTTGATTTTTTGGGTGTGTTTTTTGTGAATAAACAAGGATAAATGAAAATACTGGCATGAAGTTGTGTTATGAGTCTTGCTTCTGTGAGTCTTACCTTTGCCTGGGGGTACTGTTTATATTTGTGAATATCCTGGAAGATATTACATTTCTCAGTTTATTACAGTGAGTCTGGGCTTTTTTTAAGCATGACATCTCTAATAAATTCAAAAATTAAGGGCAACGTATAACAATTATCAATGTACATTTTGAAAATCATAGTAGTTGAAACACAAGTGTGTAATAACAATGATTATCATTTGTGATCTGTAAAACTTGGCACTGTATGATAAATTGCTTCATATGTTGTAATTTGTTGAAGAACATTTCCTAGATATATTCAATGAAGTGGAATGTTAAAATGTAGAGTGCACTTTTATCTTATTTTAAGAAACAAGAAACTCCAACAAAGGCTAGACGCTCACCAGCTAGAAGGCAGACTACTCGCAAATCACAGAGCCGTAGCAGCAGCAGGAGTCGTCAAGGTCGTAGTAGCAGTAGAAAACGCCCAAGTAAAGAGCAAGATAGCAAGGTTAGAGGATGCCAGAGTCAATCTCCATCAAGGACAAAAACGAAAAATGAAGCAGTGCCTATTAATAAAGTTGAGGAAAATAAAGATCAGTTTTCTAAAAGTCTTTCTGAAGATTTAAAAAAACAGATTCAAATCCCAAAACTCCAAGTGGAAGAAATGTTTACAAAATCATCCAAATTAGTTACACAGCAGAGTCATCAGGTAAATGTTCCTTACACCTCTATCCGATTTTATCCTTAGTAATTAATACCATAAAAAAACAAAGCATTGAGCACCTAAGGTACTTTAGCTTAGTTAAATAAAGCACCTGCCTTGTTAACGAAGGCATAGGCTAAAAGTCTGCCCTTTTTAATTTCTTACTTTTCAGAAATACATTCAGAACTTCTGATACTGATGATCTGACACAGTTTTCAGTGGTAGACATAATATTGTGCTGCTTAACCTATAAAAGGGGTATAAAACATAGTGATAAAGAAATTAATGGTTTATAAGATTAATCCATAAAAGTTTTAAAATAATAATAATATTAGAGAAACAATTTTGACTCCTGTCCCATTACAACATTTTCACAGTCAATTTCATGGTTCTTAAGAATTTGTAGATAAACTTCTCTTTGAACTACTACAATAAAATAATATTTTCATAGAAAATACTGAACATTTAAAAACTTTCTCAAATAGTTCTGCAATAAAGCTGCAGAAGAGTAAATTTGGCCAACATACCAGCCAAGTAGATTTTTAGTTAGAATTAATAGTAAAAATTTTTATGCATAATTACTAAGTGCATACCAACTATTAATGAACCATAATTTATTGTTCTATGTTCTTCAGGAAACTTCAGAAGTTTTCAAGAGTGTTTCTACTTCAAAAGTAAGCAAGTCAGATGACGAGAATGAAAAAGAAGAGGTGAAGTCAAAATTTAAGATGGGTGGCCCTATTGGTGCATTTGTTCAAATGCTCTTTTTACCAGCTCTGATTGTGTATGTCCACTTAACATGCACTAAAGTAAGTCATCTGGCTGTGATGAATACTTTAAATCATTGTAAGCTGAAAATCAGCATTATTTCATTAGTTGTTGACATTAATATAGTTTTTCTTCCATAGTAATTAATAAATGCATTTTTAATAAGTTAAGGTTCCTGCATTTTGTTTATTACAGCTGTCCATTAGTGATCACGTATATTCCATGATACTGTTCTGTCTTTTCTGTATCATTGTAATATATAAATTAGTTCTTGTTTCTACAAAATACTTCTTTCTAAAATAGTGAATGATCTCAACACAAAAACTTTGTGAAAGTTTTTAACAACTATAAACCTTTTAATTGTTTCTTAATCTATGGATAGTGCAGGGCATTTCCTTTTTTTACTAGTTGTGTTCTTCATTAAAGCACTTTAAGTAAATGAAGTGGTTTTCAAATATCTATATATTCTTTTTCTTCAACTTGTCTGTATTGGAACTTAGCTCTGCTATTACAAAACTAGAAATTATAGTTATGTAAAATAATTGCACCATATCAAGTCAAATTTAATGCTAAAAAATTGAATTGCTTACTGGAATTTTATGTAGGAGTCTGTAATGTTCTAGAAATTGTCAATTGTTTTTTTATATCTTAATATTTTCCTCTAAAAGGAATCTTCAATATTATATATAAGTAATTCTCTATGAGATATGAAAATCCAGTGATGATAATGAAGTTAAGTTTTCCAATAGTTAGGCTGTTGTCTTGAATATTACCAGATTTAAAGTCACACAACATAAAAACGTGATTGTTTTTCTAAACTGAGTAATCAGCTGTTGCTCTACTTTTAGTGTGCCCAGTTGTTACATTTGCTGGATTTAATATCAAGGTCTTGTTAAAATTAGTACCAGTAGCTTATCTGTAATGATGCTGCATTGTCCCAACAATACATTTAATGCAACTTTATGACTACCATTATAGCAGGATCAAGCATGGCTCATTACCATAATAACAAAAAAAAAACTGTCCCACACTTTCAGACTGTGGTTCATTACAAAGGCATTGGTCAAATCCCACTAGCTGGTCTTACAAAAATAGCCCTATAGTTGGAGGTATGTGGTGTTAGCCTGCTGACTGCCTTCCCTCTAGTATGTCACTTTAAAATTGGGAACATCTTGTGCAGATAGCCCTCACATGATTTTTAAAAAAATGTACAAACACACAAAAACCTACTATAACATTTCAAATTACCTTCCAAACACATTAATATATATTTTTTGATTAAACATAGTGTGTGTGGAAATGAATCAAGATTGTTAGAAGTGTGCCTACTGAACGTAGGAAAGAACTAGTGAAAATTTGGATTATTGTGTTGCAGTTTGAACCAAAATATAACGGAAAATCAGGAAAAACTAAAGAGAAATTATCATGAAAATAAGCATTTCCAACAAGATATCTGACCTCTCACAAAATAGCTATTCTCAACTAGCACTGCCCTCTATCAGCAAAAATTTTCAATTCACACCACTAGCCTTCTTGCTCCTGCTTCTGCATATCCACATGTAAATGATCATGGAGCAGCTGTCCACCAATAGGAGTACGACATCACTTATCGTAACCAGAGCCCTCTTCATATCTGCACTTGTTAATCACTTCTCGATTGGCAATAGTAATGTACAGGCATGTTGGTTTTTGCTCATGGATTTGTTGACGTTTTCCTTTATACTACTGTCTTAATTTTTCTTTCTTTTTATTTACATTTTTGTATTTTGGTATTGTAAAAGGTTGTTGTTGTTTTTTTCTTTCCAAATTTTTCTTACTTTTGTTTGAGCCATTTTGCTATTACATTGCGGATCCCATTCTGTGGCATGTGATGCCTGACCGGGTATAAATTTTTTTTTTAAAATCCACACTGTCCATCCTGTGGCCATGCTCGATGTCAATTATGTTGTAGCCTTTCCTCTACGGACCTGAAGTACAATTCCAGATGCCACCAGGTGTTGGTTGTGTGTCTCTGTTTTATTGTTATCTATGACTAAACAATTACATTGTAAGTATGAGTTATGCACACCTTAGAGATGGGGTGTTCCATAGGACTGCTAGTAGTTCTTGCTAGGGATTTTTTTGTTTCATAAATATGTTAATCCCAGTCTGTACACTCATGGACTAACATAAGTAAAGCAGACAGAGATTGCTGCCGAGCTCTGCTGCTCCATGGCATTCAGTCTCTTCCTACCGTAGACCTGATGTACAATTCCAGATGCTGCCTAGACATGGTTAATCAACTCTGTCAACATGGTAGATCTGCTTTTCAAAATAGGGTATTGCAGTCACTTGTTGCACTGTCTATGGTGGTGCTGTCCTCCAGACTTTCCAATACATTTTCCCCCACTTTCTTAGGAGTCCTTACCAGTTCCTAGCCACTGGGGTGGTGAACCATGGAGGTCTGTCCTACTGAATGATGAAGCATACCACTCAATTGAGAGCAAGGCTGTGGCATTATGCAGGTGTCACTGGCATATAATACTTCCTACCTCGGATCTGATGGACAATTCCAGATACTGCCAGGTTTTGGTTCTAGCACTACACCATATTTCTGTCCATATATCTGACCAATTGTTTTTTGCCTACCATGGCATTCCTCCTTCTTACCATCCTCTGGGTTTACATTTCCGGTGGGTTTGGTTTTGGTTGTAGATGGCCCAGTCACGAGTAGTATCATGTGTAGATGGCCTGACGCCCTTCTTACTGCGGACCTGATGTACTATTCCAGATGTTGCCAGGTTTTGGTTGAAACACTCTGCCATGTCACAAATATATGTATGTGTGTGTGTGTATATATATCTTTGCAGTTTGCCCCACAGGCTGAGATGTTCCTCCTCCCTACCATCCTCCAGATGTATATTCATGGTGGGTCTGGTGTTGTTTGTAGATGGTCCAGCTAAGTAAGTCCTCATATGTATGCTCGCCAGTATCCCTCGTCCTACCAAAGACTGGATGACAGATGCCCACTGCCGCCAGGTTTTGGACTGGAGGTGCACCCCAGGTTTGTGGTCCCTCTTCCTACCATCTGCTGGATGTTGGTTCCCGACAGCTCTGGTGTTGGTTATAGCTGGACACAGCACATATTTTCCCGCTTGTATATGGCCAGATATTTTCTTCCTACTGCGGACTGGAAGTACTATACCTATTACTGTCATCCCACTGGGGTTTTCCATCTGCTGGATGTTGGTTCTTGGCAGATCTAGTGTTGGTTGTGTTGGAAATGTTCACAAGTAGTGACAGATTTTGATATGGAAGCTTGTCTTCCTTACCAATTCCTGTTTTGAAGTGAAGAGGTTGGTGATTCTCTATGTACTGCTGATCTGATGTCCCATTCAAGATACCATCTGGTGTTGGATAAGGTCGAACTACCACTATGGACTGTCACACCCTGTAGTCCCATTCATTGGTCATTCATGTTCTGGGATTCCTTCAGATGTTTTTGCCTTTTATGTTCACAATACTGTCATAAAAGAGCAAAGAGTATACCTAGATCAGATGTGGCACAGTCTTCCACTGAGGTGTGAGGTTTTCTCTTCATACCGGAAGCTAGCATTTTCCAACACTGAAAATGTATTTCCGATAAATACTTACCTCTTCTAACATTTCCCACCCAGCCTCCTCACTTCTGATGATATATGGTGTAGGTCTTCTGACCAATCTCGAAGTGATTAATCAGTGCAGATGTGAAGAGGGTGCTGTTTAAGATAGGAGTAGTGTTTCGCTCCTATTGGTGGAGAGCTGCTGCATCATCATTTACATGCAGATATGTAGAAGTGAGAGGCAGAAGGTTAGTGGTTTGAATGGAAGATTTGTGCCAATAGAGGGTAGTGCTAGTCAAGAAAAGCTATTTTGTGAGAGGATGTAAGTATCTATAAGAAATACATTTTCAGTGTAGAAAAATGCTAACCTGTTTAACATTTCATTTTTTAACCTTAATCTCCTTTTATTTTCACAAACCTACAACTACCAAAATAATTTTAGAATCTTTATTTTTTTATGTACACTGTAAAAAATATATGAACGTGATGTACAGTGTCTTATTCTTGAACCCTAGAAAGAGACACCATTTTGTATAATGCAAGCTACTGTTTGACAATTTCAGTTTCTACAGATAATTTCACACACTCGCAAGTACTTCAGTTCAATTCTAATTGAAATATTATTCACTGCTGCTAACTAAAACAAAGTTAAGAAAATATTCAGTTATACTGTGTGCTTCTCAAAGTACATCAGTCTGCATGATTGAAATATTCAATTATAACCAAATAAAACACTGGGTGCAACAAATTTTCATTTAATATGATAGCAGTTACTGTTTGTGAATTTTAGTTTCAACTCACAATTTCACCTGCTCACAAGTACTTCAGTTCAATCTAATTAAAATATTATTCACTAGTGCTAATGAAAACATCAGGTCAAGCTATATTTACTTCCAAGCATAGCATGAGCTTAATAGCTACTCTTACCTCTTGCATAAAAATAAATCCACTGTCTGCTAAATATTTCATTGTTGAAAATATCAGGTGCAAATAATGCTTTATAGGCCAGTAATCACAGTTAATCACATACCACTTTTCATAAAAATAAATTCCTACCATCTCAACAAAAACTTGTATCTGTTCAATCCACTAAAGTTGAGGATCCTTCTAAAAAATCCATCTCCTCTAGTTCGAAATCTTCTGACAGTCAGGATAAAACTTCATCAGGGCCTGTCTGCTATTTCTGTAAAAAATTTAGTCATGTTATGTCCAAATGTTGGTGTTTAGAAAAAAAAAAAAGGAGACAACACCCAGTGCATTTGTGTTCACATATGGATGTAGTTTCATCAGATCACCTGATGTTGTTGATTTGGCCACTGATATAAAGGCTGATGTAGTCAGGGAGGAATTTAGACCTTTTGTGTCTGTTGGTTCTGTGTCTTTGACAAATGACACTCCCAATCCCATAACCATACGTATTCTATGTGATACTGAGGTGACTCAGTCATTGTTGTTAGAAG